AGCACAAAGGCCGTGGCAGACACCCTCGAGCGAGCCGGCAAGAAGAGAAGGGGCAAGCGCAAGGAGGGTGGGTAGGTTAGAGCGGTGATAGGGGCGTCGCGACGCTCAGCGTCCGACGGAGGTTTGCTGGGTAGAGGGGAACCTGAAAGCCCGGTAGATCCGACGCCGCGAACAAAGGATGGCTCACCCCACCAGCTCCCGGATTTTGGGAACGAGATCGCCTATACCGACTTGTTCGTAGTCGCGAAGATGCACGCATGTGTGTGTGTGTGTGTGTGTATGTGTGTATACTTGCGTGTATATGTGCTCGTGTCAGGGTATACGTGTGCGTGTATATACACGAGCGTGGGCGAGTCCGAGTTTGCTCGACCGACCCGATAGATACGCCGCGGGCCTAATATCGAAAGTTAAGGGTGAAGCTGAAGCTCGTGCTTAATTAAATCAGAGGACCGTGACAGATAACCGTGCTCCCTGACCCGAAAGGTCAGAATCGGACGACCTGATTTTTGCACGGTATCGGACAATTTGATTTTTGTTTTCTTGCGACTGAACGTAAATTGAAGTTTATACGTGTTTTGAAATGTGAGTAAGTTTAAAAGTTGATCTTGAACTATTCAATGATTAGGTGGGCCAAATTATCAAATGTCAAGATGTGCAAATGAAGAATTTTTTAATTATAAGACTGGGAGAACTAGAAATGCGTATTTGGATCCGATTTATCGTTAGAGACTTTGCGCTCAATTAGGTCGAATAATTCTCTTGATATTCTAAGAATATCTTCTTTCGAGAAGTAACATGCGAACGTAAAATTTATTATATACCTCAGATGCGGTTCCGCAGGATTCTGTCCTGGCTTCGAACTTTAAAGAGAAATGGGGAAAGAAAAGAATACGCGGTCCGCGGACGTGAAAGTGCTGACAATTTTTCACAAAGAAATGCCGTACCACGTACCGATAACCGTTCAAAAAGCAATAAATATCTTCGCTAACCATCTTCTATAAGGCAACCCCCGCGAAAGCGTTCCATTCATACTACGTATAACGTTAGCGTAGGTATGCCGACTCTTCCCGCTTCCGAACCCCCTTCGTCACCGCGTTTCGGCCCACATTGATACACATATCGATTCCCTTATGGTTTACGAGCAACCACTGTGATTTATCGCGCTCGAGAATACTGCATAGCGTCATTAGAAACATCATACGTGCTACGGAACGTCTGTCATCCTGTAACCAAAGTAATTCAATGATCCACGGGCCGCCCCTTTCGTCAGAACCCTTTCAGCGTGGTTAACTTGCGTTATTGATATACTATTCGCCTTGTGGAGGCTCAGAAGAGAGAACAAAAATCATGCTACAAGAGAAAAAAAATTTACACCGTACAATACCAACGTGTCTGTTCGTGTGCTATTACGTATTTTGCTTTCCACTCTTCTTCGTGCCTATACCGAGCTTCTCTTCCACATTGTACGTCGCTAACCTCATATCTGCGCAGCCACTAAATCAGAAGTGCAGCGAAGCGTCTACGTTCCCTCCGCTTCGCGCACCGCGAATCATCCCTCTATATACTATAGAATTTCATTTTTACCATCTAGTAAGGTGATCAGGATAAAAGAATAAAAATCGAAGTTCTTATATATTTTTCAGAACAATTAGTAAAATCTTCTAAATGTTTGCCGTGAGAATAGAAAGGACTAAACTGAAAAATTAAGTGCGTTCTTTAAAATAATTTTTTTAGTACAAATTTAGAGAGTTTTATACAATTTAAATTCGATACAAATTTGAACTGAAAAATAAAAGTAAAAAAATGAGATTATCATTATTAACTAATTTGTTTAAGAATAGGTATAATAAGTATTGAAAAGTCATTTCTATATTTGCGACTGATTGAACAGGCATCTGCGACTGATTTAACAAGCCCATACAGAAGTACAAGGAATTTTTAAAAGATGTTAAAGAGAGTGTAGTGAATATAAATAAATAATTATATGTAAATAATTATATTACTGACTTATAGAGCAAAACGTATGAAAAAACTGATATAGAAAAATAATCCTATTACTTTACTCTTTGTAATAATGTATAGACCTCTCTTACAGCGAAAGACAATCCGTGATAGGAATAATCCTTCGCCGGTGACCCTCGTCAAGTCGAAAGGATAGTAACCCATTACATATTCCTATGTTATCGTTATATCATATTGAACTATCGTACGTCTCATACGTTTCATGTAATCATAGATCATTTACAGCAACGGTCACTTAATGATACTGTAAATATCTTACTTGATGGATGAGTTGGTATCTACAGCGCAGAGATGGAGATAACCCAGACTCATGAGTCGTCAAGAAAACGTGAATAAATCTTATAGGAACCAAAATCGCTCCTTCGATGCTTCACGATCAAGGAAAGAAGAGAAGTTCGCGTGTGTGAGGAAACGGAAAACCGGACAGCGGGGCCCGGTCGATTATTACACAAAATGACTCTCTTATCTCTTCAGGTAACCGAATGACCTGTCACGCTTTTCCTACCGAGTTACCTATGCATTCCCCTACCCTTCGCTAACGAAATCGGTCTTCAGTCCTGAAGCTCCAGGTTTAAGATCTTAATCCGTGATAATACACCGTGGGAGTGTCGCACTTAGCGGAACATTTGTTTCGGCCTTTCACTCCTAGAAGTTAACGGCCTAATGTACGGCTATGATGATAACTTCTTTTCGACGCTTGAAAGGTGAGGAGTCACAAACTGCACTATCAACAACAGTATCAGCAACTATTGTATCGGCTAACTGACCGATAATCCGCTCGTTATAGTCAAATTTCTGTCAAGTTGCTGAAGACATATCACAGAAACAGATCATAGTATATGAGGCAGCATTTTTCGCAACTCAAAAAATAAATTAACGCACATGGAGAGCATTGAATAAATGTGGGCGAGAAGGATATTTAAGAATTATAAAATATTGGGGGTATCAGGATCGGCTTGTGCTAATTGAAGGTAGATTCACGAATGTTAGTAAAAGACCGGAAAATCATTCGGCGCGTGCGTTTGACACGGCAAACATTGCACAGGTCAACAAATTAAAGGGTATGTAATATCACATGAAACTTTATATTGATTTCCGAAGGAATTTGGTGCGCTGAATCCAAATCTGGCCTCAGAATGGCGCCATCACGTCAGGATTTTGAGATATTCTAACCTAAAAGTGAAAAAATGGCTATTTTAGGGCATTATTGAAGTTTCCTCCTGGTTGCATAGAATTTTACCGACAAAAACTAAACAAAGTACCGTAAAGTACGAATCTTGCCCTTCAATTTCCATTTTGGAACGTCCAAATAGAATTTTTTTTCACCGAGATAGAGCAGATTTAAGTTTTTACTGCATACAGAAAATCAAATAAAGCGATGATGTCGGTTCATTTGAAATACTTTAACCCTTTTTGAGTAGTTCTGGAAAAAAGAGTTTGTAGTTTAAAGGGTCCCGAGGGTCGCTGCTCACGAATCTGGATTCAGATTTTCAAAATTCTTTTGGATTTGGAAATTTTATATTGGATCCGCCATCTTGAATTTTGAAAATCTGAGTCCAGATTCGTGTGCAGCGATCCTCGGGACCCTTTGAACTTTTTTTTCCAGAATTGCTCAAAACCAAAAAGGTATTTCAAATGAACCGACATCATCGCTTTATTTGATTTTCTGTATGCAGTAAAAACTTAAATCTGCTGTATCTTGGTGAAAAAAAAATTCTATTTAGACGTTCCAAAATGGAAATTAAAGGGCAAGACTCGTACTTTACGGTACTTTATTTAGTTTTTGTCGGTAAAATTCTATGCAACCAGGAGGAAACTCCAATAATGCCCTAAAACAGTCATTTTTGCACTTTTAGGTTAGAATATCTCAAAATTCTGACGCGATGGCGCCATTCTGAGGCTAGATTTGAATTCAGCGCACCGAATTCCTTCGGGTAAACTTCTTATTTCTTTTGTGATAAAAATCTTGTAAACCTGTGTTATTATCTTGTCCATAATATATATATGCACTAATATCTAGCATTTGGCTCTTAATGGTCGTATTTCTCTATTAAATTTAGGTGTTATCTATATAAAGTTTAAGATACATATTTGGTTAGATCATAGTATAGTTGATCGAGCATTGAAATCACTTCAATCAAGACAATTTTGGTTAAGATAATAACCTATTTTCGAGGGTTTGAAGGGCGAAGAATTGCCAACTGAAGTGTCAGTAATAGTTCATTACGCATTATTACATTGACTAACTGACCCACTCATCATAGTCAACTTTCCAATCGCTAGGAAATCATCAGGAACGAGATATTGCTAATTGAACATCGAAGTTACTTTAATCAAGTGGATTTTCCGCGGCTCCATGAGACCAGTCTCTTTTCTCTGACAATTCTCTCACACATCAGCGATACAGAGCAGACGTACCTTTCTCCACATGATATATCCTCGTGTCGATTTCTCGCAGCGATCGAGAAGATCGATGATTCGGCCGTCTGCAATTTACGCACACACCACTGCCGTCCCGGTGCACATTCACGCGCGTAGCGAGCCTTGTTGCATTAGATATCGGCTAATTAACATTACAGACAACGTGAGCTGTAAGCAGGCCGGTAATTACGCATACCGGACGCAGTATGCGTAGACGTAGCGTCCTTATCGGCACCGCGTCGTTGTCAACCGCGAAAAACCGACAGCGGCGGCTGTCGGCAGACTGTGCAAATGGTGCCAATTAGGTGTACACAGGTGTCAATTTGTCGGCGTCCCTCGTCACGCTTTCGTATCGCGAGCGCCGCGACGAAGGAATCTCTGAGCGAGAGCGAAGCAATTTTCGCGCGCCCGCATTAGGTGATTCGCATCGCGATGCAGCCGCGTGACGACGATAATTAGTCCCAGTACACACGCTGGTATAACGGACCCGGTCGACTCGCGGCGTATTCTGGAACGGCGTGACTGTCGACCGACCGAGGTCTAGGAAGTGTTCGAGTTTTCTAATAAACGCTTATCCTCACAAGACGTTCGCGATCTTCACTCGACGCCGAGCTAATTGAACGGTCGGAGGTGAGGAGATCTGGCAATTCACGAATCCGAGACGATGCACTTGGTTCATAAGAAGAAGAAGAAGCGATCCCACGGTAAATCAATCATTGTCCATTTGTTCTCGCTTCCATATTCGGTGCAGGTATGAGTCAAGCGATGATATCTTCGAAATTGTAGAATCCCGTGCAATTATAATTTCCCAGACTTCTCGCGGATGCAAATGCCGGTGTTATACGCGAGTCCGTGACACGACGTAATCGTTTACGCAATCACGTGCGCAAATTCCATGCGCACATATCACGGCTGTACGCAACGTTACATGCTCGGCTGTGTGCTCCGGTGACAATAATGATGTCAAAATTTCACGGCTCTTCTTCGACGTGTCGTTTATAAGGAAAATTTGATATTTGTATGATCTGCGACTCAGCTAAGGGATCATCATAATTTGCGAGGTACACGTGTGTGCGTGTGTGGGGAAGGAATCACTGTCCGATCCAATTGCACTGTTTGACACATGCACGATAGCGGCGACAATTACAACATTGTTCAGCGCACTTTCACCACGTTGACTAGCGGAAGCTTCCTTGCACTTTCGACCGTCACGTTGTTGACAGCAAACTGTGCGTCTCGACATTCGCGTACACGTGATGTAGCCCGCACAAATCCGCGTGTGTCAGAGCTTCTAACTTGGTAGAAGCACAGACAGGAACGAAACTACACAACGTGAGGACTAACGCGCGCGGAGAGAAACCAACAGACACGAACTATGCGTGTGCGTGTTCATGTGCATGCGTGCGGGGGGAACGAGACCGGAGGAATCGACAGAGAAGGCGAGAGAATGGAAAAAAAAGAGGGACAGAACGGCGGCAGAGCGCAGGGATATCCACCACGCGCTAACCAATTCCGCGAGCGTCGCGCGTGCGTGTGCGCGTGTACATGGACGGATGTGAATGTGTGCAGAGAAGCGTATCCTCCCGTCGAGCGTGGAACGGACGAGAGCGTCGAGCTGTCAGCGCACCCCACCCCGAAATCCCCCTTGAAACCAACCCCTCCTACTGTGACGAACCCCCCTCCACATCACAAGCTCTTTCCCTTGACTAGTCGTTCCTCTCTTCCACCCCCCTTTCGAACAACCCCCGGCTGTGACAACATCGGAGGAGCCGTGTGCCTTGCACGAAAACGAAAGTAACAGAAGCGCGTGTATCGACGTGAGCGAAAACTATTCCGGAGAATATTTCTACAAACAATATCGGGATGTTGGTTACACTGTGCTTCAAAGCGAATATGCAAAATCCTTTGGTGTCAAATTGTGTTGGTCAGAAAAAATGTTAGGGATTAGCTATATTGATGGATGCAATTATTTATAGTAACTTTTAAATTACTGCAAATAAGTATTCATGTCATTAATATTTTTGAAAAGTCTTGTCTTTGACGATATTTCAAGTAGCATAACAAATATTATAGAAGAAAAAAATGATTGGTTTAACTAAAATTATAGTTACTTTTGGCACCAACAATATTTTTTGGTTTGCCCTAACACGAAAATTGCTGCAAAAATATGCATGTAAAAGTTATTATCACTAATATTATAGTAGAAATTAATAAAACAATCATTTCCTTGACCATAATTTGTAATAATTATTTCTTTATGTAATTATAGTTACATATAGCAGACATTTTTTCTCAATATAGAAAGGTATCAAAATTTAGAAAAATTGTAAAAATTAGAAGCATTATGTTAATATTATAAATACGTATCAATAAGAATCGGAACTTGAAAAGAGAGTATGGGGAATAATAGTAAAAAAAAGATTAATAAATAAAGGATAAAAAGTAATTTATGAAGCACTGAAATACGAAAACTGCCCACGAACGCCCGAAAAGCAATTTGGTTTCTTTACATTTTTACTGACGTAGACGAATCATAATTCCTCGGAATTTCACTTCCAGCTCGAAAAATTCCTTTTCGGTTCTTCTTTCGGCCTTTCATTTTGACTGCCACATTTTAAGTTTTACATATTTTTTTCTGAACTCAGGATTAATCTTTCGATATAAGTAAGGAATTAATAATACGAATTCCTACCTAAACATCCTACCTAAACGTCTCTTATTATTTTTATATACAAGGTGCCTAGATTAACTTTAGTTACAAGGAGATATACTACAATATAAAAAAAAAATATTTACACGTTTGTCGTTAAAGTGATGCTCGTATTAAGTCAATATTAGAAATAATCACCATTTTAATATGACAAAATGAAGTATCGCGATATCCTTTCATATTTTATACGTAGCATCCATTAGTAAAAATCTTTTTCTTCTTCTCGAACTGTTCCCAGGTTCGTCCCGGGAGATTCTACGAGGGTGGAAATTTTTTTTTGAAGAAAATGGAGTTGGCCTTTGTCCGAGTGGCGAAGTGATGACTTTATCCAATCGACTCACTCAATTTCTCATCTGTATTCTTTCTCTATCCATGGGCTGACCCGCGGTCCTATCCATGGAAGAAAGAGAAAGAACCGGGTGAGGGAGAGAAGCGCCCATGAGTTATGGTCGCCATTACGGTACCGATAATTATATGCTGCTCCATAGCCGCTCCCTCCTGTACGTTCTACGAAAGAAGCGAGAGGTACGGTAGATGATATCCTGCCTGCCGACAAACAACTTCGAACAGCCGACCTTTAACGTAACCGTACGTACATCGACCATACGTTCCCTCCTGACTGCCTCGATCGATCCATCGATACGTTCCGGTATTTCAAAAGAGTCGGTAAGTAATTACGTTGATGCGAAGTCGATCGCTAATATGTGAAGTCTCCGTGCAATATGTTGATCGGTATCTCTAGAGAGGAGCCCTAATATTTTATAATCCTAAAATCGTCCCTAGTTAAGAATAATCGCTGGTATAAACAATTCCAGAAAATACGGGAGTACTTTTGACGAAGAATGATGGCCGAAATATTGTGGGTTGCGTCCCGACGAATTGAAAAAGTATTATTTAACGTATCAAGACAATATACGGACAATAAAATAAGAAGAATAACGGAGTGCTTTTTGTGATTCAATAAAATTGTTTTAGTTGATGAGACAGTGAAGAATTGGGGGGAGAAAAGATTTGTAACCGGACACGGACACGGCACTCACACACGCAGTAATGAGAAATCCCCATTGTCTGGAAATGGTGGTCGTACATATCGAGGAAAGGACTCGATCGTTTCCTTACAACTCCCTGCGGCCCACTTATTATGCTGATTCACTGACAGAATGCAATCATCTAAGTATTTCATAATGGTTATTATCGCATTAAATTACCCGGAATAACAAAAAGATAAATTAAAAGAAAAACCAAAAAGAAAAGAGATTAAATTTAAAATGTTTCGTCAAGAAAAATATAAGTAAATTGAAAACTGAGTCACAACATGAAGTAAGCATAGATATCAATGCGAAAGTTTTAGATATTTGTTTAAAGATTATAAAGATTATAAAGAGATAGTGTTGAATAAATTATAGTTTAGTAATAATAATGGATAAATGTTAGGACGTATATGACGCGCCTGGTGTACACAGTACGAGATTCTTTTCTTCGCGCGCCAGTGCTACCACTCGCTCCATTCACCTGGCAATCGCGCCAACATAAATCTAACCGTACGGGTGGTATAGAAATAAAATAATATTGCACGCGAGTAACTCACATCAAAGAAAACGATGACCTATGCAAAAATGTACACAGGCAACAAATATCTTAGAAAACACTTGCAGCAGCCATCCCGGATACTTAATGACAATCAAATAAATCCACCTTGGGAAACACTTCCGTAACTTCGGAACGCGGGATTGCACCTCGTTGAAGAAACATAATTGTCGGGCCGTAATTCAGTTTCCGATTGAGATCGCGTAACTTATTGAGACATCGGTGTGCTTAATGCGCCGTTACGTCACGCTCCGTGACTTTTACAGTAACAAATTGGGACAGCATTATGCTCGTGCATGAGTTTCGACCACAATATTATAGCGTGCGAACGTCATTAGCATAACCAACAAGCTCAACACAGCGCCCCGCGCAGGATGCAGACGCGCCGAACACAGAACGTTGTTAGCTACACGTGTAAAGTTCATCGGGAGGGGAGAAGGGACGCGCGCGCGAGGAACGCAACGAATTTATGGGAACACACCAGGTGTATCCCAGCAGTTCTTGATCTTCTGAGTCGCTGTGTGAACGCGCCCTGACATATTCTCAAACTGCATGTCTCAATTTTCATTCGCGCTACTTACACATGATTATGAATGACACATGCATGTCGAGTATTCCCTTCCGCCCCCCGCCCCTCACCCCTCTCGCTTTATCTCTCGTCCCACACATGAATAACATTACTGACCGAGTCGAACATCTGAGTGAGCTCCACCGAACGCCAATAATACGAACAATTTCACCACTTGAGATAGCGCTATTACGCAACTGAGAGCGGCCGTTTCCTTTATTGTTTACGAGCGTGAGCTTCTTAAATTCGTGTTATTTTCGTCCGCTGTCGCAAGATGAATGGCGTGCAGGTTTCTGGCAACAACGCGTTTCGAGAAGGAAATAGAGTAGAGAGAAATCGAAAAAGGAGACGAGGAGGTGGAAGAAGAAGAATATGAGGGGAGAGTTCATCCTCCGCCTAAGAAAAAGTTAGAAGTTGTTCTTGAAGAACGTCGTTCGCGAGACGTAAGCGGCCGCCACTGCCGCCGTCGCCGCCGCCGCCGCCTCATCCCCGTATGTCGCCCCTCTTTTGTTCCCGCTGCCTCTTTGCCTTTTTTTTTTCTGCGCATCCAAGAGCGGCGTGTGACGCCTTCGGGGCGCCGTGTCTTGTTATCCGCGTGATGTATGGTGCGCTAATTGTACTACGCTGAATGCCGGCCGCGTTATAATAAAATCGATCACCCAGTTGTGCGCGTACGGTTGCTCGCAGTGATCAGAGTCCGTTGAAATTTCGCTTCATGAATCGTTTCCCGATGCCGGGACATTTCTAAAGCAGACAGGCGACTCGATGATACTCTCTCCTTTCTGCAGATTTAGATGTGCATTCGTATCGAGCCTGTTACGAAAGTGAGTGGCGGCGATTCTTTTTGTTTGATGCGTTGCCTATACTATAAATTATCGAGATTGTTGACTTTTTCCGCGGCTATAGTTTTGGTTTTCCGCCCGGCAACGGAATTCTCCCCCTTCCTGCCACCCGTTGGCCCTATTTCCTTAACCAGTCCGTTGGCATTCATGATTTATCGCAAAGGGAAATACGAGAAATAGCAAGAGAGGTCTGCGTTTTATGCGCCTTGTTTCTATCCTCGGATAAAAATGTGCTTTTCCCCGCCACAACTAGGTTTTTGGGGTCTCAAACACGGTAAGTGAATCAATATCTATTTTGGAAAGTGTCAAATGGTTTTTCAGAATATTAACCGGTTTATTTTTACTTAAAATTTCCATCTCTTTCTTATTACTTTTGTGCATAGAATAAATAATAATGAGTATATGAACGAGTATCCGCAAATGAGTAACTCAAATTTCACACGTTCAATGTAAATCCCTTACGTTAATCTTGCGTGTGTATATATGTGTGGGAAATCTCTTTCTACAATATTTTAATTTAATATAACGGTTTTTATGAATCTTAAACTTTGCTGTTCGATTATATGCGATTCACGAGGTTCGTAATGAGTTCCTGGAACGACCTTGGAACGCAGAAGCGCGAAAGGCGAGGGTGATACTGGAAGATCAGTGGAAGCACATTCTTTTTTCTTGTATTAACTTTGTCCTTTGTATGTCGACTTGTACGGTGGAAATCGGAGGAAAGTTTGTGCCGCCATTGTGGGCCGGCGAGGCGAAAGAAGAAAGTTAAAATCTCATGAGAGCATTGTTGGTTGCGTCACTGTCGTGACGCTATCCTTCTTCTCCATATTCCTTCTTCCTTCGCGGGCCTCGTGTATAATATTAAAATTTATGACTAAGACCATTTCAAGTCTGGTATAGTCAGTTTGAGCTTTTTCTCTTCAGCACTTCTCTCTCGCCTCCTCTCCTTTTTCTTCTCCAACTTGTTTGCCTTATCCTAGCGACGTTTCATCGTCTATCTCGTCAATTATTTCCCCATATATTTCGTAATATCTTGTATATTTTAGCCCGAAATATATATCTTTCAATGATTTCTATATTAATTATTTTGTTCTGCATCGTGCAAGCGCTGGTTAATGTAACTTCTCGAAAATAATTTTTGGAAGGATTATATAGAGTTTGGATGATGCGGATCGACAGAAGTTATCTGAATAAACCGGTTCATCTTACCGTCAACCGAGGTTCTGGATATCAAGAGATCATGAGAACAACCACATATGCGAAACGGTTTGCGTGTAACAGTAATCAGTATAATGATCAGTGACCGAATTGACGTATCGCTAAGATAATATATATGACGGCATATGGCGGCAGATGCATTGCGCAGCGTGATATGCTCTAACGCGTCATTGATAGCTCACCATCCCTTTCCTTCTCCCCCTTCTCCCCCGTTCCGTCCCCCACACTCCCGCCCGTCACTCTGCCACCCTCCATCAAATTTTCCTATCACCCCCGACTATTCCCTTCATTTCCTGTCCCGACGGCCCTCCTGCTCGCCCCTGTGCTAGCCTCCGCTTCCTCCTCCCTTCTATCACGAACGGAAGGGACGTAATACGAGCGAGGGGGACTTACGACCAACCAGCGTCGTTGCTTTTAGGGATAAGAATTCCGTTTGTACCGCACCCAAGTTCTATTTTCACGCCAATGTTCGGCGGAAAAAAAGTGACACGGTCAGAAAGCGTCAGCAATTTAACGTGCACACACTGATACGCCAATGTTACAGTTAGCGATGTTATACCTGGCATTGTCGCAGTTAGTGATGTTTATCGCTATCCAGATTGTGAAAGGCCCGGGAAAGGATTTTGATGTCGCACGAAGAGAAAGTACCCCGGATTATTTTGCTCTTTTTCGAGAAATTTCTCGCACGCTACCACGTTTCGAGGAGTCGCCGAAAGAAATCGTCGGTATTCGATCGGCACGCTGGCGAAATTTGTTGATGCGTCAGAAAAGAAGAAGGAGATTGTGGCGCGTTGTAAAACGCTAGGATAAAATGGCCAATGATCACAGTAGAGCCGGAGCGTCGTAAGAAGCGGGATAAATTGCAGCTAACACTGGAATCTGTGTTTTTGCATCGACCGCACAAGCCGCTTTGGAATCTACCGCGGATCAATTACAATTAAGAGCGGTTAGCGAATTGCCAAACGTTTCAGGCACGCGGCGTAGGTATATTCTACGCTTTATGCCCCGCTCGCGAGAGTTTTCTCGGAAGACGCAATTTCGTATTATTAAACTGCACTACAAGAGTCCTCGATTGCGAGGGACAAGCCTGTTCACGAATTGCTTCGGTACACAATTTTACTCGACATACATAACGTGTATAACGATATGATATCGATAACAATATATAGTTTTCTTGAATTCTGCATGACAGTCATTCTAAATGACGGCTATCACAATATTTCTACGCGAAATGTAAGTTAGTTAGTAGGCATACGCACATTTTAGAACTTCTGATGGAGCTTTGCGAAATAAACAAAATCTCAATGGACGTTGAAGAAGTGACGAGGATATCGCAAAAGAATCAGAAAACAAGATATAGCAGATAACTCTAGCACTCGTGTGTGTGTATTTCATCGAAAGCCACGCAAATTTTGATGGATAAGCGAAAAGTGAAGAATGAATTCCGGCGCGATCATTGATCGGTTGTTTTGCAATGTTATGCCCGAAGCGTGTTTCACAGCGTGATCCGACATTAATTTAAACGTCATTTTATCTTCTCTGTCTTACGATTTGTCATAACATCGTCACTTGCAAAGTGCACATTTTGCAGAAAGCTGATGCTGCTCAACAGTAATAAGCTGGACCGTTTGTATATAAACATTACGAATTTGAAATTATCGAGTGAAAGAGTGCCGCCACATCAGAAATGTTAATATCACGCGTGTTCTTTTGAACAAGACGCAATTATGAATTTCACTCTCTTGTCGTTAAATTCTCTATTTCAGCGAAATTGTTTCTCCCTTTTTTTTTTGGATTACGCGAGAACATGCCATCTCCTAATTTTCGACAATTCATAGCGTGATCAAGCTCATTCGTCTATCCGCTCACCTCCGTCGCTTCTTTTTCCGTCGCCTCCGTCGGCGAGGTCGCCTCCTAGTTTCCCCCCTGTGCAAGGGGGTAGTTGCTCTCTCCCGTGGTTTCAGGGCCGTTGCTGCTACGCTAGGCTCGACTTCTTCCCCTGCCTCGCTTCTTCCCTGCACCGGGGGCCTTGTCTCCGCCCCGGCGCTGGGCCCCGTCGTGGCTGGTACTTCCCTTTACACACCACCGCCTCAGAAGTCTTTGTCCACGAAGAGCGAACGAATTCGCCGACAGTCACCGAGCCAGGTACGACGGAGAACTGCGTGGGATCAGAAAAACCCGATACCGACGACGAATCATGTGTCCTTTGGGCAGACTCACTGCGGTCTATGGGGTAAAGCGACCATGTAAGTCCATTCACCATCACCCTTCCCTCACTTTGCCTTCGCGAAATCTTTTCACACGATTCTATGAACGGAGGGTGCCGCGCGAAGTGCCCGCGGAACGCTTATTACGACGCTCGTAACGCTGCGGCTTGATCCTAATGATACCGCTTCGAGGGGCGAGCTCTTACGTATTGGATTGTCTTGAGGAGATGTCGGCGAACCCGTTATCCCGGCTTGCCAGTTGAGGAACAGAGAGCTGTGTGCCAATGAACAATAGTAAAAAATAAGCGAGCGTTTGGCTTAGCGCGACATAAAGCGGATCAGACCAAAATTATCCTTATCCACGTCGCTTCTCGTGCCTCGCTTATGCGAAGTCGCTGACGGAGACGCTGGTCAGATTCTTTTTTTCAGCTAACGTGTCGTGCGAGGTCGACGAAACAATGCACCGATACTCAAGGCGTCAGGGTTTAACGGTGATCGGCAACGGAGATCTACGAAGTCCAATATCTTGCGATGCGAAACACAGTTCCAACACGATTCTCCAGTATCAGCACACAGCCGAGTCTCACCCTCCAAGCTAAGTTTGCTCCGTTTCTTGTTCTTGCTTCAGATATAACGCAAAAATCAATGACGGGGCTAGTTCGAAATGCCGTTGGACGAAAGTGTTTTTGCTCTATCTCGCAGCTTCTCGCAATATTACACTGATATTCCCTCTCTCTATCTCTCT